TCATCACAAAAGAATTTAAGGCGCAAGTTCCAAGGTAATCGGCCGACCTACAACGTTTCCTGGCGATATCTGGGCCCACCACAGCGCCACTGCTCCCCCAGAGGACAGAGCAACAACAAGCTGCTATCTTGCCAAACGAGAGGGGTCTTGCTCTGGTCCAGAGCAGCGATGACATGATTAGTGTTTCTCTGGTTCATCTTGGCCTCGCGAACGGAGCTGTGATGACAGACGCGGCCGCTTGCTGGGAGAAAAGGAGGGGAGGCTGGATTGTTCCTCAGCGCCTTTAAACACAACAACAAATACCACGGCGAAAACGTCCCGAGCTGAGCTGCGGTCGTAAGAGTTTGCGGACAAACAGCAGTCTGTTCATAGATGCTCATTACCAGACAGTTTATCACTTTGTGTCAGAAAGCACAGAGCGATAATGATGGATTGCTGGTGTTTGCTCAAAGAGACACTGTGCTGTGATTTACTCTTGGCCATTTTCAAAAATGTGTTACATATGATGTAGTATTCAGGCCTTATTGTAATATATTATGTTGAAAATATATATGTTGAATGTATTTCACTGGGATTTTATGCTATAGAGCAACACAAAGTAGAGCATAGTTGAAACTTGTATCTATTAATTACATCAAACCCAACCTAATACTTGTTAATGGAGTGAGAGAAATATAAGATAAGCTACGAAAGGTGAAATGCATTTAATGTTTTTAATTAGATGTTAAATGTAGAAATGTTGTATTTTGAGGACAAGGATTATAAGAATCCTTCAAAATGTTCAACCTGAAATTTTGACTGAAAAACTAAACTAAACTGCATCTTTCATCTAATCACACACTATCAGTGGGTAACATATTGACTGCTATAATCACAAAAATGATCAGTTGTGTTGTACTAATGTCTACTGTGGTACTAGGAAAACTTAGTATTTACTAGAGGTTATAAAAATTTGAGAACCACTAATTTAACCTATTAGAAATATTTTTAATATACATTTCTTGAAGCCATCACTTTGTTGTGAAAGCATGAGACAGATAAAATGTGAAATTTTTTTTAGCTCTCCCAGCACTAACTAGAAACAACCAATCAGAGCCAGGAGGTGGGTCTTAGCGCTGTCAATCATCATCTCATGCTTGTCGTGAAGGCTAAGGCTAGTTAGCATGGCCACCGATGACAGCGGTTTTCCTGTAACAGTGCATTGTTTCTCTGCCATTAGCACATCTCGCAGCGTGTTCATGAGGATGATAGACAGCGCTAAGACCCTCCTCCTGGCTCCGATTGGTTGTTTTTGACTGAGAGCGGTGCAGTTCTTCACATGGCAATAGCGGTGCAACAACAATACATTAGTTATGTATGGTGACGATTTTGAACATTTTAAATAAAAGTTAAATACTGCAGCTTTAAGTTTGTGGCTGCAAGTTGACAAAAAGTTTGTGAATACTTTTATATAAAGCTACAAATCAGCTTTTTATGGAAAATCATTGTAACGATTTTTCCACCAAAGGGAAGACCTCCTTGTAGCCTGACACCTGTGTTAATATTTTATGAAACTTTGCACAACATTAAACCTGAGGCCCGGGGAGGAAATGGACTGTTCTAAGACCAGGGAGAACCCTTGATGTGCAGCAAGGCCTTCAGCCAGGGAGGAGTCCGCCTCAGCGTGAAGCATAGCTGGCTCTTTCTTCACACCCGCAGGTGCTGGTGGGAACCGCCGCGGCTACGGCGACCCCCGCGGGGAGCCAGCGGTTTTCTATCCAAACAGCACGCACGAAGAAGCCGTCATGAGGAAACAGCTTTGGCCTGAGCAGCAACCGAGGCCGTTAACGGGTTCGTTCCGGCAACGTCTCCAGCACTGCTCGGAGTTACGCAGAGCTTGTGTTCCTTTGCAAGCAGATTGCATCCGTGGGCCGAATCGACACCTCGTCGGAATATTTTATGATCTGTGTATGCAGCATGGAGCGCCGCTACGACCTCCTCCGGGCTCTTGTGTACATATTTGGAAAAAGTGTGGAATTAACTAAGAGGAGCTGTTGAGCTTAGCCGTGGGTCAAACTGCTAAAGCTCGTAGCTGTAAAGTGGAGACATTTCTGTAGCTGTGGAATGAGACAGCCAAACATAGCTACACGCTGAAAAAAAGAAAACTGGTCACAAGTAACTAACTTTATCCAAGCAAATATTTTAATTTTATTAAGTTGACATGCTAACACAGCATCGGCTTCCTGTGTCTACATTTTGTCGTCCCGCCTCGAGCAATCATACCGGGTTTGTAGTGTCAGGTGTGGAAAACAAACCACGCATCATAAAAAGTTACAACTTAAACCCATCAACTGATTCGGACCAAAGCAAACGAGGTTTAATGTTTCAAAACATCCTGAATCTCCATAGTGACAAAAGTACATTCATGTACCTGCGTGTTGTGAAGAATGTCTGCTTTCCCGTGTCTTAGCGACTAAAGAGGATGCTCATTTCCTGTCATGGAGGACTATTTCTCTTTTTTTTCCCTGTGTGAATGTTTCAATTTTTTTTCTGCACAAGTGTTTGTATTGGCCCAAGAGCTGATTTTCATCACAAAGCGCTCCGAGCTGCCAGCCATTGTTTTTCCTCAGCTGGTGGATAACCTCCTCGCCTCCCGCATCTTTCCCGCTGCCGTTCATTTCCTCGTCTGTCCCGTCTATCAGGCCATCTTTCACCGCTGGCGCGGGTGTTCAGTATAACACAAAGTTACCGACTAGGCCTTAATCCAAGTGAAACAGTCTCGGAAAAAAAAAAAAAAAAAAAGCCACGAATGTGCAATATGCTGTTTAAAATGTTTTTGTCTTGAGTGATTCCTCAATTACAGATCAGCAGGGAATTTTTTTTGATTGCCTTCCAATTTGTAATGGACTTCAGTCACATTTAGTAGTGTGATTTGTATCATTAAGCAGTTCAAAGTAACCACATTTAATCAGATTTTTTAAATTTATTGGTATTTATTGATGCTTTCATTGGACAAACAGTGGAGGAAATAGTAAAACAATCCCAGCTATATGGAGAGTTTTAGAGGGGTTTGAGCATCGTTGATTTAAATTTATCATGACAACGGTAAATCAAAATTTTATGATAAGAAATGTATCACGATAAATGATCAAGTAAATGCCCAGCCCTCGTTGAATCATCATCAATTGGGGTTTTCCATGACAACCATGACAACCTTGATCATGATAAGGAAAAATCGCAATAAATGATACGGTACATGCCCACCTCTATTTGAGATCAAACTATATTTTACCTAGACCTAATTTCAATTGCTAAAGCTGTTTCATAAAGAGGAATCAGTGTAAAGTTGGTGACACGCCCTCAAAACTCGCCGCTGTAATGGAAACAAAAAGATTAACTACGCTTCCAGCAACTATTTCTGGTCCAAATATGGTCAAATCGATTGGAAAATCAACATGCTTTTGTACTTTCCTTCAGATACAGACACAGTTGGGACGACTCCAAATCCCCTGTTTTGCTTATCCAAGCACCCTCGGTGACCTCACCTGCTGTTGCCTAACTCTGGTCACGGCCAAGATTTTGGCTCCCAAGACGCAAGGAAGCCAAGGATGAGAGCAACGCTCCAAGCGTGAGACTTTGAAGTTTCTTGCGTGCTTTGGAAAGAGGGCAAAGAATCACCTGCCATAAAGAAGTGTGCGTAAGCTCTGAGCTATTTGCTCTGGTGCCTGGGTGGTTATGGGTCCCTCAGGAGGCCTGGCCCGGGCCCCTGTGAGATCACATCAGCGCCGATCGGGCAGGAGTCCACCCGGAGGTGGAACTAATGAGCCCATGTGTGCGCAGACACTTCTAAGAGCCAGATGCTGGGAAGAGAGACGTCCATTGAGCGTTTCACGGCACCTCCCCTGGAGAGAGGAAGGGGGCTTGTGGAAGGGTGGGGGGGAGCGGTCAAGGCTTCACACGCATGTTGAACCGTAGAAATCACTGTGATCAGATACACATCTCATTCTCATGCTGACACACACACACACACAGAGAGAGAAACATCTCTAGCTGTTGAGTCTACGCCAAGGCTGTTTCCACTCTTCCTCCTGCTGATGCCTCACGCAAGGTGAAGCAGTGCAATAAAAAGGATTCAGGGCTCACGTCTATCTATTCCATATGATCTGCCTTCCCCAGTAAAAGTCACGTACAGAGAGCGGCCTCCCAGTTCACCATAATACCTGACGCGGTTCTGACCTCTGATCTGATGCCTCATTCAAAGGGTTTATGAATACAGCCCTTAAATGCAAGGCCAGTACGGTTAACTAATATGGAAGAAATAACGAAAACTGAAACTGAGAGAACATTTTGTTAACTGAAATAAATAAACTTACCTATAAAGCACTTTAAAACAACAGTAGCTGTGAGAAAGTGTTGAGAAAGATGAACAATAGAAACAACTAAACGTGATAACAGAAGAGAAAACGTCTCAACATGCGAAAAGCCAGAGAATAAAAATGTGTCAAAAGACGAGTTTTAAAAAGTGGATAAATAAAGGGCACTTCTAATGAATTATAAGCCTGGCAGGCAGCCAGGCTTTACTTGCCCCCCTGCCACGCTAAGGGCTGCTTGTTTTTATTTTAAACACCACTCTACTCTATTTTTTTGTTTTCAATTTGCTACTCCTGCAAGGTTAAAATCAAAAGCTTTTAACCATTTGCCTATGACGTAAGCTGATGACAAATGGTAGGCATGTTACACACTGAGTAGATTAGTTAATGATGAGGAATCTGGTGTTGACATGTTGGTTTGGTTGTGGGGCACAAATGAAAACCTGCATGTGGCTTCAAACATTCTTGGACCAGCTATGATAAAGGGGCCGACTCAAACTGGAACTGAGAGTAAAATATCAAATTAAATAATTAAATGCCACAATTATTGCACACTCATTACATTTCAATTTTTTTATTTTTATTTTAAAGTGTGGGTGTTGATTTTTATCAATTGAGCCGAGCAGGAGGAGCACACCGCCCTAGGCCGCAGTCTGACACACTGGACGCATTGCGAAGCGGTGACGCTGTGAGGAACGGGAACGAGTCTGTCACTCATCCACTTCGAGCCGGAAGACGGCCGCAGTCCAGAGAGCGCGGACGAGTCCGCAACACCCTCTTCCTTCCTCCGCCGCGACATCGAGCAGAGTCAGATCTCACACATCCTCAGTAAACCCCAGAGACGGAGCGTTCGAGGGCCGCCTCGTTGTCAGGGCGGACAGTCTCATCCAAGAAAATCCTGGAAGGAAACGTTTTTTTTTTTGTTTGTTTTTTTGATTGCAGTAACCTGATCTCACTGAGAAATTTAGAAAAAAATCAACATTTGATTCAAATCATTGCTCCCATAATTATCAGTACCCCTGCTGCTAATACTATGCGCAAACTAACTTTTGCCAATAGTGGCAGTACTTAGTCTTCTATAACTGTGGTCCTTGGGCTCACTTCAGTGGTTTTAATTTAGTGCAAATAAGCACAAACTGCCAATATAAATGAGCATATCGATCTGAACTTGAAAACAGAAGAACCGGGAAGAAAACATCAAGTTCCCGAGAAGAGAAGGGGACAACAGAGAACAAGTGCTTATGACTTCTTTGGCTGCATTTCATTTGCCGTTTGAAGTGAGACGTTTGGGATAATAATTCATATGAGGGAATTTTACACACTTGCTGAGATCCCATAACAAATATGCGCAAAACTTTGTCGATATTCTGCTAGTGTCGAAAAAACATGATTTTGCAATTTATGTGTTTCCATTAAATGAATAAGGCAATAAAAAATCACACTTGAATAAGTGTGTTTATGCGATAGTCATTAAAAAAACATGCCGCGACATCCTCCTCCTACCACTTCCTGTCGTCGTCTTCGTTGTTTCCGCCAGTAGAAACGTCCGGCTGTTGGTCACGTGACTCATGATGTGAAAAATGGTGTTTCTATTGTAGTTTGGCAAAATACACCAATGCCAAAGCAGTAACCAGTGCCGCCATTTTGGATGTCGCAGAGGTTCATGTCGATGGCATAACCCGCACTGTCCCAATTCTACAGTTTTTGTATACTTGCAACCTGAAAACTTGAGCTCTTATGTGCATTTTGACTGAGTACACACTTCATAGAAGGGCATAGGATGTTTTGGGATAGGCCCTAAGAGAAATTATCCTCTTTGTTACACCATATTCATGCTCCGAAGAAACAGGTAGCCGTGGATTGCTAATTACAGGTTCCCAATAACTGCTCTCAATTTTAAAAGTCAGAGTATAAATGTAAAAAAAAAGATCTCAACTGGAGCTCACATTTCTTTAAAAATCAAAACCTCCAATGAAAGCTAAAATAAATGCGTCGGTGAGATTTGAATAAATAAACTTCACCGTGTCCAAACAATATTCTTCTATTCATCAAAACAGAGTAATATTCTCTCTTAATTCCATTTAGTGAGAATTTATTAAGTGCACGTATTTTGCAGGAAAGGCATCTGGACACTTGTCAGAGTGCTGACTGATTCCCATTTCCTCCTGAGTGATGGCCAAGCATTGAGATGCGCTGGCACACTCTGGTAATGGGTCCGTGTCATTAGAAGTGCTCATTCTATCAACGTCTCTCCCAGCAACATGAACAAAGCTCAGCTGTTAAATTAGTTTCACAGAGGAGCGTTTGTGTTCTCTCGCACAACAATTTTAGGACCTGTTGGGTTGCAGCCACGGTTTGTTACTTTGTGGTCATACATATGAGTCTCTCATTAACCATGGCTGCCCAGAGCTCTTGTAACTTGTAATCCCCATAAATTTGTTGGGAGATCTGAGCTTCCCAGACGGATTAACTACTTGCACTGTGTTACCATAAAGAAAACGGCATTTTACGATGGCTGAAATTCGAACATAATGCGATCGGTGGAAACTGGGCCTCAAAGATCCATGGTAGCTGATCCATAACATGTGGTCTGCCACAAGGCTTGGTCATTTGAAGGATCTGACTGGTGATCCTGGTCACTAACCAAAGGTACAACCCACATACCTGTGTGGAATGCCAGCTCTTCTCTAGGAAATACAGGTTATATCAGCCAAAAAATACTCAACGCCCTCAATGCAAACACAACAACGTAAAAAAAAAGTACCATGCTCAATGGACATTGAGATCAATAAAGTCATTCTCTAAGGATGTGGCTTTACCCGGTTCTCCCTCCAACCAAGAACAGAAAAACATGTTCCCACAAAGAATGAGTAAGCATGACAATATATTTAGCAATAAGGAGATAGGAAAATGAGGACAAACCGAGAATTTAGATGGACAAACTGAGTTGTCCACCATAAAGTTTTACAAAAATGTTTAAAATAATTCTTGAAAACCAGTCTGAGTGTTCAAAGCCTCAATCTATAGTGATCTGTGTTTCTGGATATTTTGTGCATGATTCCTTCTGATTGCCATCAGTTCTCCCAGAGTGCTGTGTGATGTTCAAGCAGTGTAAGAGATCCTGAAGAACAAATCAGAATAAATCTAAAGTGAAAGGGGCCTTAGCTAAAAAAAAACCAAACACTTCCTTCCTTTACTGCGTAAGGGGAGTAAATCAAAAGACGGGATGGTTTTCACTTAGGCTTGGTTGGAGATCATTGTGTTTAATGGTACTGTGGTTTTTTTGTTTTATTCTTTTGTTGTTCAGTGCAATAAAACTTTCTAAACCTTTTCTCTATTAGACTGTGGTCACGAGAGTAACACTTTTGGAAAAAATATTGGTCAGTGGATCATATTTATTTATTTATACCTTTCTAGTCTGTAACTGAGAATCATAAATGTAAATGGTTTTGTTCGATGGTTACCTTTACCCTGTCTCTCTCCAACTTCTGTTTGGAGGGCATTTCTGTTTTTAAAATGACACAAATCGAAGTACGTAGCATTATTATTTTCATGGTAACCATAAAACCATTCAAGAGTGGTGGTGTCTGTCAAAAAATGTTGAGCGATTCCATTTTGTTGCCTTGTGGTATACTGCCATGATGCATAAAGAATAAAAAGTTATGTAACTTTTGCGCCCCTTTACTAAAGTGGGACCAGAACCTACAGGTAGTAGCTGGACTCTGAGGAGGAAAAAAGAAATAAAATCTGGAAGGTGAAACGTCTGGATAATTGTTCCCAGACTGCTAGAAAGCCACTTCGTTTTTATCTTAACGATATGTTGAGTCTGAGCCGCAGTCGGTTCGAACTTCCTGCTTGAATCAAAAGGAGAGATCAGATTTATCCAACGGAGCTGATAGAAACACACTATCCCATCACTTTTTATCGTGTAAGGCAATACTTATCCTTCTTCCTTCATTCGCTCTGAATAACCGTCTGTATGATATTACCACAGTAGTAAACCCAAGGTTACAATGCTGAAGGTGAATGTGTGTGTGTGCGTTTGGTTGTTAAACGTGAGATAATAGATTCCCTCCTGGCTGCCAGCGTGACCCCGGCCGTCCTCCGGTGACCCTGCGGATGATTACTGAGGCTGAAACGTGTCTGATCCCGGGCTTCGAACGCCCACTTCAATTCGACTGAATCCCACCACATACTGAGACACACACGCAGGCTGCCGTTCACAAACACACACACACTCAAGTTCGACCTTAGGAGCACCATCATCTCTTAAATCAGAACAGGAGCTTAAATTTTCTTCTTTTCTCTTTGATCCCATTCGTCATATTGCCGACTTTTTGCAGCTGACATTTAAACCTGCGCGATAAAGATTCTGTGCCGGAAAGCCCAAAACTCTGGGATCTTTTACTACTCTTTTTTATTTTTACCATTTTCAACCGCACAGATTTATACATTGTTCTACTAGAAACACGGAAGAGACAGAACCACGCAGTAAAAAGTTTCTTTATGGAACGGTTCTGCTTCCTGACCGTTTGATGTCTCCCTGCGTTAATCGGAGCAAGCAGGGAAGCTGATTTACAAGCAGCAAAGAGAGCGCCTTTACTTTCACTCTGCTTCTGTGCTCAGTTGTGGCTGGAAGCAGCAACATTCGAAATGATGGTAAAAACAGACCGCAGAGCTTTAAAACATAAGGGATTGTGGCGAGATTTGATTATTCGGGGATTTCACAGAGACATCCTCTTGAATACGGTTCGGTTTTCTGAAGAAACGTGGAAAAAAATAAGACATGAACACAAAACTCATGATCTGTTTTTACTGTGTTTTTTCTGCTTGTGTTGCCAATCACTTCTTATTAATGCTGGCATGTATTTGTGTCATAACTTTCTGCCACATTGGCTAAAATATTAAAACTTTTCGTTAGCATATCAGATGTTTTCAATTATCAACACTCGTGTCCTATTCATGCTTAATTTATCATTAATTTTAGTTCTTCTGATTTTTGCCCTGATCAGTTTTTATTTTTATTGTTCTCATCTACACTGTAATGTCTTTAACATTATTTTTAATGATTTTATTGCTATTTTTGTTGTTTTCTTGTCGTTCACTTGCATGTCTTTGCACTATAAGAGTAAATGTAATATTGTTAGTAGAATTACTACACCAAAGATACTTGGAGACCAGATAGATGTAAACAAAAAATTAATTAATGAATTTTATTTAGGGGTGTCAGACTGAAGAAGCCTGATTTCATATCACCACCTTCCTAAAAAAATCCCCCAAGTAATTTTTTTTTTTTTTTTTTTGCCAAAGACGATCCCTGTTTTTTGGCCTAAATCATATTTTGGTAATGAAAAGAGGGTGGGTTGTTTTGAGGACTCAAAATCACTTTTGGCAAAAAAGAAGACTAGGTCCATTATTTTAGGATGGTGACAATATTCATGATTTTGCTTCTATTTAGCTATAACAATAGAATATGAAAACTTTTTTTGACGCACCGTAACAAATCCCCGGGTTGTGTTTTTGACTGTTGTTGCTTTGTGTATTTGCTTTTTAATAACATATTTGATGGGTCTGATTATTTTTTTCCAAGTAACAATGTGAAATTCCGTGGAAAACAAGACACATTCTTGGATAACTCGGTGCATTTATTGAACTTAGCACAGCAAGTACGGACGAGCACAATGCCGTCACAGTTTTTATCATCATCATCATCATCATCATCTCTTACTCTTCCTACCGTTTCCTCTTGTCAACGGCTCCACCTAATGGCGTGGAGTGGTATAACACAACACAATATAAATTACAAAGCTCTCCGTGGACATGTTTTACCTTTTAGCCGCACTCGGCATTAAAACCTCCTTGTCCTTATTTGTCATGTTTTGTTTTGTTGTTGTTTTTTTTGCGTAACTCATCAACAAGAGCGCTTCTACTCACAGGTCAGTGCTGCTTTCCTAAGTTTCTGTCCCACAGTCGACCCAGAACTGTCTGGTGGCTTCCCAGAGCTCCAGCAGGCGACAAGAGGGGCGAAAAAAAAATGGCAATATAGAAAGCGATTGTGAAATGTGGGAGCGAGGAGTGTTTGGCACCGCTCGTCGTGTTTACTCAGTAAACCCCCTAAAGCCAGTGTTTTTCTTTCTTACCGATGGAAATGCCGGCATTGTTGGAGCCGGAGGCCGTGGTTACCGGCCGGCCGTGGGCCCAGCCAGCCAGGTTGGGACAAACAACAAGATGAAGGTCAGCTAATATAGCGGTTAATTCCACTTCCTGGTCCCCATGACACCCAGGCCGGGTTTATTTGAAGATCCCAGACCCCGAAGTCACTCTGCACTTTGTTTAATCCAAGAGGTTTTTCTTTCTTTTTTTTTTTTTTTGTTGCAAGCCAACACTTTCACGTATGAATGTAGGGAAGCAGGAAAAGACGATGACAGAGTAAAAAAAAAAAAAAAATCCATCCAAAGCAATTTTGTTTTTTATTCAGACCGATCTGTTTATGTCTTCGCACTAGAAGTCAGTTTTAAAAGAAGAAAAATACAAGTTAATTTTTCTTTTTAAAATTAGCAAATAAATTATCCCTTCATCCGCTTATGTCATGTAAAAGATGCTGTAAAAATATATTATGCATTATGATTTTTTTAAATCACAAAAAATAGCAAATATTAATGTATTTTCACAATTTCCACTATTAATCCTTATTTCTAGCACTCTCCCTCAGTAAGGAATGAACAAAAATCAAGAATTTTAATATTTCTTCATCACATGTTCAACTTATTGCTAGTAGTGCTGCTGAAATATTATCTCAGTGAACTTAAACTCCAGTCCACCAGGGCCAGTAACGTTCAGACTGCAGTCAGAGGTGACCCAGATGAGATTTTTTTTTAAATTTATTTATTTTTTCCCTGTAAGAACATCACAGATCAGATTTTTAACAAATGTGATCCAGGCCGCTTGGATATGTGGCCCTAAATCTGATCTTATCAAATGTGACCTGAGTCTGAATGTCATTGATTCTCGACAAGCTCCACTGTTCTGCGTCGAGGTACGCAGACGCAGTAATAAAAACTGCAATCATGGCGGACGGTAATGAGGATTAAGTTGTTAATGGTTGTTAATGTGTTTTGATTTGGAGTAAATGGCAAGAAAGCACTTAAAGAACATAGATTTAGGCGTACAAAAAACATGAAGAAAAATCAAATTATGAAAATTAAGTTTAAAAAAAAATTGCGTCAACAAAGCCAAACATAAATTGTAAAAAAAAAGAAGAAAAAAAAAACACAATTAGGTGGAAGTAACCTAAGACGGTTAAATGAACCTTTATATGTTGAGAGAATTTATTAAGTTTGCTTAGGGCAACTGAGTTTTATAGTGTATAGTCTGCTGTGAGGCAAACTGAAGGACTCTCAGCGCCCCCGCGCGCACACACACACACACACACACACTCTTTCTCCACTCTGGCATCTTTAGGTCCCAGGCAGTGTGAGTGAAGAGGCGTTAAAAAGAGCCGGTTTATGACCCGATTGTCTTACTGATCATTTAACTTGGAACTCCGAGGATGAGAGGGAGGGGCAACGGGTTGGGAAATATACGGCACATACCGTCCAAAAGCCAAGTGGCTTAACCCTGTGTGAGAATGGTAATGAGAATCAAAAGGATCAACTCCGTCTGTGTGTGTCCTTCTGTCCCGGGCCCGACACTGGGATGGGATGGAGGCCTCTCTCCAATGAGACTTTCTCCTGATGTATAGGAAAGACCTTTGTGCTCTGGTGTAGTAGGCCAGAAATACAGCTTTTGAACCAGCGGACCTGGAAAAAGCAGAGGGCGCTTTAGTGAGACTGAAAGAAGAAGTTAAAGAAAGGGGGGAGGGAAGGGGCTGCAATGAAGGTGTTGACATAAAAAAAGACCCTGTCAAGTCATTTTCATGCAGTTTTGCGTGTGCAGGACAAAGGGTGTGCGCTTAGACACACATTTTGTTTATCGTAAATATACATATTTTTTCTTTCGTTTAGTCATTAAAGGAAGAAAATTCCTAATTGATGTAAAAATTATTTTTGAAATTTTTAACTCCAGCTCTGAGCTTAGGTTTTATTATTGTACTTTATTGTATTTTATTAGGTTTTATCTATTGTATTGTATTATTTATTACAATGATACTTTTTATTATTACATATTTGTTTTGTTATTATTGGAGCTCTGCAATAAAATTTCGATCATATATACATTTTAAATGTGCAACTGAATGAAAATGAAGTCTGTCTATGACTAAGTCATTGATTATTCGAGTGTTATAGGTGTAATTATATAAATGTTTGCATTCATGCTGCAAGTTAACTATTGACAAAACTACGATCACTACTCCTACTTTACTTATAAAACACTTCAAAACAACAGTAGGTGTGACAAAGTGCTCAATAAACATCAATAAACATTAAAAGTGTGGAAACGACAAAAGACGATAGAAACATTAAAACAATGAACGCAGCTGTGACATCCAAGGAGATCAAAGTTTCTGACCTTTCATATGAAGACCTCACAAAATTACAGAACCCTGCTTGTTTTAGTCGACACAAAGCAAATTGGGGGACAAATCGGTTCAGACTAAACACACCTGTCTACAGGTGTAGAGGAGCAGTCTACGTCCGACATAAAACACTCGCAAACTGGTTGGGCTTGGAAGAAAGGAGTAGTTTAAAACCAAGAAACAAAACAGTGCCTACATAGCTGTTCTAGACCATCATTTTCTGGATCACTTGTCTGTTTGAAATCAACTATGGATCCCAGAAAAGTAAAATAAATTTAGGATTTTAAAGCATGTCAGGACCCAGAAAGGACTAAAAACAAACAGCGGAGAAAGTCTTTTGTCCTGAGAGGTAAGTGCATAACTATCAGGCAACAAATATTATTGCATTGTCTTGCAATGTGATTATATATTATCGCAATACCATAAAGTCTAAAACAAAAGCATTATATATGCAGGTGGAGGAGAAACAAGACAACACCTGGGCAAAGTTGCGTCTACAGCAGAGGAGACAGACAAACTTTTCGTCAAGTTCCACCATAGTGATTCGAGAGGACACTGGATGGCAAAAAACCCACAGCGCCATCGCCAGGTGCTGCTGCTGGCCTGGATTGGAAAATGATATCCAAATGGGTGAGTATTTCTTTATGCTTTATCTAGTTTCCCCATTTCAGGTTGCTCAGTGACCTTGTTGCCAGAGAACAAAGGCAAAACTTAAAGAAAAGTCTTGGTGCAATCCCACTGAGGTGGGAGGAAGTTGACCTGAACCAGATCTAAGGGGATGACGGGAAGAACCAGCAAGGAGTGTGAGGTGAGCAGGAGAGGGGTTTAAATACTGCGAGTGTGAACAGAAGACCCGGGCTGATGAGTTAACGGGTTGCAGGTGTGAGGGGAGAGAGAAAGAGAGAAAATGGCACAGGGAGTGAGGGAGAGTACAAAAAAGACTATGAATCCAACACTAAAGAATAACCAGACCTAAGCAACATAATTAAAGTAGAACAAGGAATAACTAGAGACACGAAACAAACAACTGGAAACAATAAGAAAGGCCAAGCTAAAGTAAAACAGAAACAAGACGGATCAAATCGAAGAAAAACTAAGGAATATAGAACAAAGCAGCCCAGGACAAAACACTGTTAACACACGGTGGTAGTCAAGGTAAAGAACTGAAAAAATGTTTTCTCAGAAAGGAGACCTAGTAGACTTGTCATTCTCTTAGGTGAATTATGGTTTGTGCCAGAAGCTGAATATTCAAAGAAGCTTATGCTCACCGTGTCACCCCCAAACCAACGGCCTTGTGGAGAACTTGAACGGTACAATTCAAAGGTTATTATCCAAGCCTGTGTTTAACAAACGTCTTGGAAATGTGGTTGCATTGCTAGTTGCAAAGGTATGACTTACTGAATTCTCTTCTACTTGAACAAACTGGTTGTAGACCACCCCCGTAAAGAGCCACATAACTAAACACACACCGTACTTTTTGATGTTTGGAAGGGAGGCCAGACAAAGTTTTAGGTAAGGTGTTTTCACAGCCTTCTTGCTTGGGCCATCAGTACATCACAACACAAATTTTGTTGGCTTACTTACAGATCACAGAGCAGAAGGTTGAGAGGCTCCTTTGTCAGGAGGCTTTAAGCAGAAGCTTAATCGAGCAGGTCACGACTTACAGTGTCGGCCAACGTCCTTAAAAACCAGGAAGAGGTCAGGCAGAGGAAGCAGCAACGGGGTGAGGAGGACCATTTTAAGGTGGGGAGCTGAGTCTCCTGAAGAACATAAGGCAGGAGCAAAGGAAGGGTGGGTCAATGGAGGCCGACATGTTGGATCCACTCATAGAGGGCAAGAGTGCAAACCTTCTTTCTAAGGGTAAGAGGAAGTGCAAAATAAATATAGATCACCTTAAGCACTTTGGATTGCCCCAAGAGAGGATCCCTTCAAAGCTCAAGGTGTTTTGGCCTCCTCCATCCAGCAGCTTCTCCTAAAGAGTGAGCTTTTTCTGTAGTACTCTAGAAAGTTTAATTTGCATTAACACTACTTTTTTGGAGTAATTAAAGTATTTGGGCGGGGGTAGAAAGGACACTTTGGTGTCCCACAAGCACTTCTCAAAGAACCTTTTCGACCTGGCCTCTGGCAGGAAGTTGGAGAGTGAGGTACATTTTAACACCTGTTCACTTTGTTGGTAGTACTGTTAAATGATCAGTATGTTTAAAGAATACTTGTCTGTTCCCAGGTGATCAATGCCTACCTTTCAATTCTGGGCAGGCTGACAGGGGTACTAACCTTGGACTCCTACTTCATGACTGCAATATGGCAGGACACAGTCAAAGGTCGGAAAAAGGCATCAGATCACAAGCTAGATGCAAGTTTGTTAATGTCTCCCTGTTTTGTGTAGATGGCTTAGATGTACCACAATGTGGTAAGCATGGGTTGTATGCCATAACCACCACTCATTGTAAGTATAAAACAACTTTTTTTCAAAATTTGTACTTCACTATTTTTGACCCGGGTTCTACTGATGGAGAAAACGCCAGTATTCGTTGACCCGTTTGGGGCAACTGACACAAATTTAAAGTTGCCAGGAAACGACCAGGTGGGTAGTTGCCAAATGGCCCGAGACTATTTAGAATTGGGTGGTTCGCTCTTTAATAAATGCCATAGTCATACAGTAGATCATTTGTACTCCAGCAGAGCCTGGTGATTGGGAGGGGGGATGTTCTACATTCC